CGGACAACGGAGGCCTCAGAGAGTCGTTCCGCGCGTTTCAGACGTACGTCAAGACATACGGAGAACCACTACGACTGCCATATGTCTCGCAATACACACCACAACAGCTGTATTTCCTCTCATACGCGTCCGTACGTAATGAACAGCCCTTTAGTGATTAAATTTGTATTAAAATTATAGATTGATGTCTACAGATGTGGTGCAATAATATCCGACCGGAAGAGTTGAGAAAACAAATTGAGATGTCCTCGACCACGCCCTACAAATACCGGGTTAATATTGCCTTATCTAACTTTCAGTCCTTTTCCGATGTCTTCAAGTGTGGACCCCATTCGCCGATGAATATGACAGACAAATGTGTTTTTGGTGATAGTAATTAGCAGATTATTATTAAAAAGTTTAATTAATTTTAAAAATTAATATTTAATATAATGTTTTTTGTTAAGAATAGTAGTAGACACAAATTATTATTCTTATTAATAAAAGAATTTAAATAAAATAAACATTCTTAACATTTAATATTTATTCAATAACTAAGTACTTAACCCACGATACTTAATTATACAAGAATATTGTTTATTATTATTAACCGATACAATGTTTACAGAATAATTGTACGTAAGATAAACATTAATGAGTTGATATAATCGTGATATTGTAAATACCACAATGTATAACATTAAGGTGTCTATAAATACAATATTATATAGCTACTGTACTGATATGACATAATTTATATGTCTTAAAACACAAAGTTAAGACATAGCGTATTCAATTATATAACTCAATTACTTATAAAATATTTGTCACATTTTAAATGTTTTATATTTTATTAGCGAAGCTCGTTTTAAAATATGAACAAATTATCAGTTTCATTTTATAATAGCATTTAATTTAAAAACTTTCAATGGATAAACAGATGATATTATTTTTGATACTAGTGACTTTAGTAATATTGCTTTTTCTACCAATATTTCTATATTTTGTTAATAATATAGAGATTTATATTAAGCCAAACATTTGTACGACACCCGAGTGCGAGTCCGCGGGAAAGGCATTGCAGGACAATATCAACGAGTTTGCCGACCCGTGCGATGACTTTTATCGGTACGCGTGCGGGGGATGGGAGGTAAGGCATGAGATGCCAGCCGACAAGAATTGGTTAACCGCTTATCATATTCTCGACGATAAACTTCAATTAATTATCAGAGAGTTGTTGAGTCAAAATCGGTCGACAAGTGATTCAAATGCTCACTGGATACGGAGGCTAGAGATATTCCTCACATAACTACTTCCAAAGCCTGTAAGTAAAGTAAACATCAGTTAATAAGTATTGAATAAATATTAACTCAACAATTTGTATAGAAACACGTAATGCCAGGGGAATGACCCCTCTTATAGAGGCACTGAAATCAGTGGGCGGTTGGCCTATAATGGGACAGTCGGGTGGCTATAATGACAGTGAATTTGATTGGAAGGACGCGTTTGTCAAACATGTAATCAAATCTGAATCCTCGCCGGTATTCGCGCTGTCAGTGTTAGCCGACGCTAACGATACTCTTGTCAATAGATTTTATGTGAGTTTTTAAACATGTATTAAATTTTGTAACAGTTTTACTGATTTAAATAATTTAGTTTTCGAGATCAACATTTGGTTTAAGCCGCAGTCAATTACTTAATCGCGATGATTACCCGGACATCTTTAGGGCTTACAATAAGTTTATACTACAATCGGCGATACTATTGGGCGCTAAGAATAACAGACAAATTCATAGAGATATCGATAGTATGATAGACTTTGAAATAAAATTGGCCCAGGTATTCTTATATTGTAAAAATTTATGTTTAGTTTGTAATTAATTATTTACATTTTAGTTATCACTTCCACCGGAAGATAGTGAAGATCCCAATGTTTGGTACAATAGGATCTCATTTGAAGAGTTCAATCAATTAACACATAATAGAGTCGATTGGCTGAACATAACCAACAGTTTGATGACAGAATTGAATGAAACAATTCGTATGAAAAGCGATGATTTAGTGATCATTCAAGATATCAATTACTTTATAAATGTGACACAACTGTTGACCACAACTCCTAAGAGAGTTATAGCTAACTATTTCGGGTGGGATTTTGCACGCAGTATGGGCTCACATACGGACAAACGGTTCAGAGATATTGCTTTTCAATTCATACGAGTTATTTCTGAAGTGGAAAGGGATGTCGAGTTATGGCAATCATGTATTCGTAGCGTATCTGAGAGTCTGCCGTACGCTGTGAGTCGGCTATACGTCGGGAAACACTTTACGCCAAATGATAAGCAAATGGTTTGTTTAAAATTAGTTTAAATTGCCAAGAATTTATATTTTTATGAATTATTATGAAATGATCAGGCTCAAAATCTAATACACGACATAAAGCTCGCATACAATGAGTTGATTGTCGAGAACCAGTGGCTGGACGTGAAGACTAAAGCCAAATCCATAATCAAATTAAATGCCATAACTGATAACGTGGGTTACCCTGATTGGATTCTCAACAATACGGACCTGGATAACTATTATGAATTAGTAATAGCACTTCATATTACAAAATTACAAACATATAAATATAATTTATATAAATTAACAGAAACATAGAGTGGATCCCAAGAAGTCGTTCGAGGCTTTCGTTTATTTAATATTTAATAAAGTTTTACGAGTTTTGCGGACAATTAGACAGGATGTGAATGCTTCCCGAGAGTACAGTATATTAATATTGTTTGTATAATTCATGGTAATTTATTATTAGTGTTATATTATTACAGGTGGCCAATGACACCGATAGAGGTAAACGGCGCCTACGGTTCCACATCCAACTCCATCAGTAATAATATATATATATATTATCATTTTTAGTTTTGCTTTTAAAAAATTTACATTATTTTTAACAGCAATTCCTGCGGCTATTCTGAAGCCACCGTTTTTTGATAGCAAAAGACCCGCCGCACTCAACTACGGTGCCATTGGACGGGTATTTAGATTTTTATAAAGCACTCCTATTTATAAATCGCTAATTAAATGCTAAAATCTTAGATTATCGGTCATGAATATACCCATGGGTTTGATACACGGGGTATGTATTGGTTTGATTGAGAAATATTTAGTGAAATGAACGAAATGTTTGCCAAACAGGCAGTGAATTTGATTCAAAGGGAAACTTCAGGAATTGGTTCACAGAAGAAGCGAAGAAAACGTTTGACGAAAAATCAAATTGTTTTGTAAAACAATACTCGAGTGAATACGTGTCGGAAACTGATATGAATGTATGCCTAGAAATAGTGGGGTTTGGGATGTGTTTCGTATATTAAGTGTTAATACAGTTGTCATGAATTGAATGATTAGTTGAACGGAAGGAATACTTTGGGAGAGAATATTGCGGACAACGGAGGCCTCAGAGAGTCGTTCCGCGCGTTTCAGACGTACGTCAAGACATAAGGAAGTTGATATGAATGTATGCCTAGAAATAGTGGGGTTTGGGATGTGTTTCGTATATTAAGTGTTAATACAGTTGTCATGAATTGAATGATTAGTTGAACGGAAGGAATACTTTGGGAGTCTTATAACGCCTGTTGCCTCCGGAGTCTCTCAGCAAGGCGCGCAAAGTCTGCATGCAGTTCTGTATCGGAGAACCACAACGACTGCCATATGTCTCGCAATACACACCACAACAGCTGTATTTCCTCTCATACGCGTCCGTACGTAATGAACAGCCCTTTAATAATTAATATACTTCTCATTTTTACTATAATTAAAAAATTATTATCATTCATAGGTTTGGTGTAATATAATAAGACCCAACAAATTAGGCAGACAAATAGAGTTTTTCTCGCACAGTCCCAACAAATACCGGGTTAACGTTCCCTTATCTAACTTTCAGCCCTTTTCCGATGCCTTCCAGTGTGGACCCCATTCCCCGATGAGTAGGAAAGATAAGTGCATTGTGTGGTAAACCTCGTCTATTATATAAATTATTAAAACATTAACAATTTTGTATTAAATATTAATAATTTATTGAGTGTAATTTTAGTGAATTATGTTTGAAAAGTAAAGTTATGAATCTCATAGTATACAGTAGTTAATGTAAAATCAAAATATAAATACAGTATATACGGTAAGTTAAAGCTGTGAAAAATTAAAAATCAATTCAATTCGCGATATGGTGTCTATTACCGTAAATATAGAATACTTAGGTATCACCACAAACTGATCCACGGATACTATCAATCGCTGTCAGGTCTCTCTCTTTTGCATATTCTGTCGACAATGGCTTCGATCTGTTCCTTCGCCTCCACCACACTCTTGCCATGAATTTCCTGCAAATGAATCTTCAGTAGAGACAACAACTGAAACCGTTTGCCACAGTCGTCGCACTGGTATGCGAATACCGTTTCCTTCTTCCCAGTATCACATTATCGGTGTGTCTTCTGATGTGACTGTTGGCTGATGTCTTGTCTTTAGTCTTAAACTGACAGTCAAACACATCACACCTAATCCATGGTATGTATGGGAAGTGCTTGGGATGTACTCTTAGCTGATGTTGGCGTTGAGTGCTCTCTGTTTTGAACCATTTATCGCAGTCATTGACTGAACACCGGAATCCGTTGAACATTCACTACAACACATTTGAAATCACTTTTTACTTATTCATTAAAATTACAAAATAAATGTTGAAATATACACGAGTTACAATGCTTAGTAAAATATAATGCATAATTATTATAATAAGAACATTACACAAATAAAATGAATACAAAATATTGTTTGTGTGCAATTAATATAAACTAATGCAATTATAAGAAATTAATACAGGTATATTCAACTAAAGTAATGACATTTTATAGCAAGTCTTAGGTATCACCACAAAACAAACACTGCCATTGATTGTCTCATATATTGGTTTTTATTTATTTCTATTTATTATCAATACTATTGAAGCTCTATTCACAACCCTCTCTCTCTCTCTCTCTCTCTCTCTCTCAGCCTCTTGTTAGAGCTCTCACAATATCCCTAACCTCTAGCCTCCAAGTCCCTTCCAAACATTCCCTTTGTGCCATTAAGCTGTTCCAACTACCCGGGTGTTCTATAAATAGACAGAAACCTTACTGTTTACACACATTTCAACAACTCATTTAACCAGTCAGCTCACTATTATCACTATAAACTGATCCATTATCTGATTCAAGCACTTGCTAGTCATCGAACATCTTAGTGAACAGGTGACAGGTTATATTTTTAATTATAATTTATTAAACATAGTATCAAAAAATTATACAGGAACAAAAGTTAAAACATAGTGACTATAGTGACATTTATTAATGATTATATAAATTTGAAAATCTATTTGAGTTGCATTAGAGAATAATTATAAGTGAATTATGTTTGAACATCAAAATAATGCAGTAAATGTTTAAAAATCAATTTAAAAATTGTTACTGGTAAAAAATTAAAAGTAAATTCAACACTCGATATGTGTTAAGAATTGTATTGAATTCTGAGTATCACCACAAACTGATCCGTGAATATTATCCATTAGTTATGAGTTTACTGTCGATTCCATATTCTTTCAACAATTTCACGAATCTGTTCCTTGGATTCCGTGAAACTCTTGCCATGAATTGCCTGCAAATGAATCTTCAGTATAGACAACAACTGAAACCGTTTACCGCAATCGTCGCACTGGTATGCGAAACACCGGTGCCTTCTTCCGTGGTTCACATTATCGTTGTGTCTCTTGATGTGACTGTTGGCCGATGTCTTGTCTTTGGTCTTGAAGTGACAGCCAATCACATCGCAGTGAATCCATGGTATGTACGGGAAATGCGAGGGATGTAGTCTTAAATGGTGTTGCCTTAGAGTGGTCTCCGTTTTGAACCACTTATCGCAGTCATTGACTGAACACCGGAATCCATGCTCCAGTCGGTGGCGCCTGAGATCCGGTTCCCGTCCGGTCTTATAGTCGCAGCGCTTCCAATCGCACCGGTAGTCCACCGGAGCGTCAAACTCCTGTTTGACACGAACTGGTAGGCCATTGGAGTCGCGTTTAATGCCATTACGAGAACCGTTATCTGAATTTCTGGATCCGCTGTCTGTGGGCTCGGCTTTCATTGAATCCAACTTTCGTTGAGTGATGCGTCGGAAGTCGTATCGACTATTATCTGTCATTATCTCTGTATCGCTACCACTTTCACCGCTATTATCCGCCTCTTCTTTCTCACCACCACTACTGCCATCATTGTCATCACCACTGGACTCGCTGTTCATCTCACTCTTAATGTCCGACGACTCGTGCGATTCATCCACTTCTTGAGCTCTGGATCCGTTGCCACCACTGGAATTGAGACCTATTTTATCAAAAAATCAGTGTTTTATACAAAATAACTAGTGATACAAGCAATTCATACAAACCTTTCAATGCATTGATCTCTGCTTTCAAGCGACTGTTTTCTCGTTTCACTTCCAATAGCATTGAATACACGTCTTTGAGCTTCAATTTTGAGTCCATTTTCACCCGATTTATCACTTTTAATAACAAATATTATATNCATTTTCACCCGATTTATCACTTTTAATAACAAATATTATATTAAAATTACGAAATTGAAAACCACATTGTTTTGAACTCACAATACAGTACTGATAACTGTATTACAGTTAATGATGAAATTCACACACATTTACAATAAATGTACACTGATCACACACTATCACTGTTATACAGTATTGCCGTCTAATGTTATAGCTAGTAGTTTTAAAGTTATTTTTTTAATCATTATAAAATTAATTGCAATACTTTTGAGTGACAATAGTATTAATAACTTACTATTAGTAAGTCATATACAGTATTAGTTATTCATCGAAATTAGAAATTAAATTTTAATGATGAAATATTATACATTGTTTTATTAAACGTGACAATTAAAATGAAAAAAATTACAAAAATGAATATAATATTAGTTTGTGTAATTCAGTAATACAGTAGTCAATTAAATATTCATATTAGAAAGTTTGTCAAAATTAGTAAAACACCTATTTATATGATATAGTTTTAAGCAAAATATTAATTATTAAAGTAAGAATATGAAAGCAATTAATTGTAAATACAATATATTAATTACTAGAAATTTAATGGCATTTATTGTATCAATTATGACTACCACTACAAACACTGCCATTCATTGTTTATAGTATAAACTTTAAACCATTGGTTGCTCTATAATAACTAAATTATTGTTATTATCACTATTATCTGATTCAAACGCTTCCTGGTTATCGCACATCTTCGTGGGCCGGGTGTTGAGCGCCGTATGTCTTGAGTGGTGTGTCTTTGAATGCGATTTGTATTCAGACATTAACGCAAACTTTTGGCCACAAATACCACACGAATAGGGCTTTTGTTGAGTATGTCTTCTCCTATTACTCGGATTCTTGTGTCCATTCCTGTGATTAATAGCCAGAGCTCTGGATTTGGTCTTAAAGTGACAGCCAGTGTACGAGCACTGAGTCCACGGTATGTCTGGTAAGGCGTCGGGATGTACTCCCAGCTCATGAGCTCTCAATCGGTGTATAGTTTTGAAACTTTTATTGCAATCATTGAGTTTGCATTTGAATTGCTTTTGCTTTGAATGAGTGATCAATTGGTGTTGAGTTAGCGATGCCTTCACACCCGTCCTGAATGGACAGCCCTTCTGATCGCACCTATACCTCAATTCGTGTTTGTCTCTTATGTGTCGATTCAGTTGTTCAATGCTTTTGCAAGTCTTGTAGCAGTCGTCGATGTAACACGTTTGCAATTACAACGACTGCACCAAACGATTCACCACTCAAGACATACGGCGCTCAACACCCGGCCCACACATGTTTGCAGTCATATCGATGCCACTCAAGTGGACAGCCTTATGGTGTTTATTAAGTCGGTATCGAGTGGTGAATCGTTTGGTGCAGTCGTTGTAATTGCAAACGTGTTTTCCTATCCTTTTGGCCGCACTTTCGTTGTCTGAAATGATTTTTGAATTATCACTCGTTTTGCCATCACTTGAAACACAACTATTATCATCTGATTGTTGACTTTTGAACCCATTGTTGGATGCATTCAATTGAAATAATTTTAACTTTCTTGCGGTAATGACCGCGAAATCATACCAATTGTCTGATAAACCACTTTCTCTGTGGTTAGCATTTGAATCACAGTTAGAGCTCATTTTGATGGCACAAACAGTTTAATGTTCACTTTTATCACACTATTTACACCAAAGTACCTTAAAATGAGATATAGATTTGCTTATCAGCTCACATGCACTAACATAGTTAGTATCTGGGCTATATCCAGGCACTAAACAAACAATACTGATAACACTTCTATGTACCGGGTGATCAGAAATTATACAGGAACAAAAGTTAAAACATAGTGACTATAGTGACATTTATTAATGATTATATAAATTTGAAAATCTATTTGAGTTGCATTAGAGAATAATTATAAGTGAATTATGTTTGAACATCAAAATAATGCAGTAAATGTTTAAAAATCAATTTAAAAATTGTTACTGGTAAAAAATTAAAAGTAAATTTAACACTCGATATGTATTAAGAATTATATTGAATTCTGAGTATCACCACAAACTGATCCGTGGATATTATCATTAGTTATGAGTTTACTGTCGATTGCATATTCTTTCAACAATTTCACGAATCTGTTCCTTGGATTCCGTGAAACTCTTGCCATGAATTTCCTGCAAATGAATCTTCAGTATAGACAACAACTGAAACCGTTTGCCACAGTCGTCGCACTGGTATGCGAAACACCGGTGCCTTTTTCCGTGGCTCACATTATCGTTGTGTCTCTTGATGTGACTGTTGGCCGATGTCTTGTCTTTGGTCTTAAACTGACAGTCAAACACATCACACCTAATCCATGGTATGTATGGGAACTTCTTGGGATGTATTCTTAGCTGATGTTGGCGTTGAGAGGTCTCTGTTTTGAACCATTTATCGCAGCCATTGAGTGAACACCGGAATCCATGTTCCAGTCGGTGGCGCCTGAGATCCGGTTCTCGTCCGGTCTTATAGTCGCAGCGTTTCCAATCGCACCGGTAGTCCACCGGAGCGTCAAACTCCTGTTTGACACGAACTGGTAGGCCATTGGAGTCGCGTTTAATGCCATTACGAGAACCGTTATCTGAATCACCGGATCCGCGGTCTGTGGGCTCGGCTTTCATTGAATCCAACTTTCGTTGAGTGATGTATCGCAAGTCGTATCGACTATTATCTGTCATTATCTCTGTATGGCTACCACTTTCACCGCTATTATCCGCCTCTTCTTTCTCACCACCACTACTGCCATCATTATCATCACCACTGGACTCGCTGTTAATCACACTCTTAATGTCGGACGACTCGTGCGATTCATCCACTTCTTGAGCTCTGGATCCGTTGCCATCACTGGAATTGAGACCTATTTTATCATAAAATCAGTGTTTTATACACTAACTAGTGATTCAAGCAATTCATACAAACCTTTCACTGCATTGATCTCTGCTTTCAAGCGACTGTTTTCTCGTTTCACTTCCAATAGCATTGAATACACGTCTTTGAGCTTCAATTTTGAGTCCATTTTCACCCGATTTATCACTTTTAATAACAAATATTATATGCATTGATCTCTGCTTTCAAGCGACTGTTTTCTCGTTTCACTTCCAATAGCATTGAATACACGTCTTTGAGCTTCAATTTTGAGTCCATTTTCACCCGATTTATCACTTTTAATAACAAATATTATATTAAAATTACGAAATTGAAAACCACATTGTTTTGAACTCACAATACAGTACTGATAACTGTATTACAGTTAATGATGAAATTCACATACATTTACAGTAAATCAATGTTTACTGTATGATCACTATCACTGCTATACAGTATTGCCGTCTAATGTTACAGCTAGTAGTTTAAAAGTTATTTTTTAATCATTAGAAAATTAATTGCAATACTTTTGAGTGACAATAGTACAGTCTGCCCCCGAAATAAGGTAACTCGGTATAAGGTAAACCCCGTGATAAGGTGCATTAGTTTACTCCACCGGCAGTTTATTACTGTATTGGTTCCGTATAATGTTTATCCCGAGATAAGGTAGACCCCGAGATAAGGTAATGTTTTCTCATGCACCGATGAAAACCTTATCTCGGGGTCAGACTGTACCATTGGTTCCTCTATAATAACTAAATTATTGTTATTATCACTATTATCTGATTCAAACGCTTCCTGGTTATCGCACATCTTCGTGGACCGGGTGTTGACCGCCGTATGTCTTGAGTGGTGTGTCTTTGAATGCGATTTGTATTCAGACATTAACGCAAACTTTTGGCCACAAATACCACATGAATAGGGCTTTTGTTGAGTATGTCTTCTCCTATTACTCGGATTCTTGTGTCCATTCCTGTGATTAATAGCCAGAGCTCGGGATTTGGTCTTAAAGTGACAGCCAGTGTGCGAGCACTGAGTCCACGGTATGTCTGGTAAGGCGTCGGGATGTACTCCCAGCTCATGAGCTCTCAATCGGTGTATAGTTTTGAAACTTTTATTGCAATCATTTAGTTTGCATTTGAATTGCTTTTGCTTTGAATAAGTGATCAATTGGTGTTGAGTTAGCGATGCCTTCAAACCCGTCCTGAATGGACAGCCCTTCCGATCGCACCTATACCTCAATTCGTGTTTGTCTCTTATGTGTCGATTCAGTTGTTCAATGCTTTTGCAAGTCTTGTAGCAGTCGTCGATGTAACACATGTTTGCAGTCATATCGATGCCACTCAAGTGGACAGCCTTATGGTGTTTATTAAGTCGGTATCGAGTGGTGAATCGTTTGGTGCAGTCGTTGTAATTGCAAACGTGTTTTCCTATCCTTTTGGCCACACTTTCGTTGTCTGAAATGATTTTTGAATTATCACTCGTTTTGCCATCACTTGAAACACAACTATTTCCATCTGATTCGTGACTTTTGAACCCATTGTTGGATGCATTCAATTGAAATAATTTTAACTTTCTTGCGGTAATGACCGCGAAATCATACCAATTATTGTCTGATAAACCACTTTCCTTGTGGTTAGCATTTGAATCACAGTTAGAGCTCATTTTGATGGCACAAACAGTTTAACGTTCACTTTTATCTCACTATTTACACATAAACAAGCACAAATCCGTTTATTGTGTGTAAATATTAAACTTTAGTGTACTGTATGTCAAGCTCACACCAAACACATGTGTTATTAATATTGATGTAAAATTCAAAATGTGAACTCATTATAATATACACCAATCAAGTACCGGTTTAAAGTACAATTACAGTCAACTATGCATAACTATACGCTATTTTAACATTTAATCGAGGTATATTTTTAGCCAATTTTATAAGCTAAAAATAACTTTTATTAAATACATGGTGAATGATTTAGTGTCATTTATCCTAATTTAATACTGGATATAGTAAAGTATTATTAATTTTATTTGTAAATTTTTTAATTAACGCAATACAGTATTTTTGCTTATTAAATAAAAATAATTGTAAAGATATTAGAAAACACATTATATACTAAATATAATAATTAGAATGAATAATGTTTAGCAAAATATTAATTTTAAATGAAATTTACAAATTCAAAACAAAAAGCAATTAAACCTAAAAATATAATATAGCTAATTAATTAAATACTCGATATTTGATATAATTTATTATTAAATATCATCATAACTGCAATTATGAATACCACAGATTGTCTAATCAATTAATTCCTCTTTAATGATAACATCATTCATATGATTATCTTATTCAAGCACTTCCTGGTCATCGCAATAATCTGTGGATCGGGTGGTGATCGCAGTATGACTTGAGTGGTGTGTCTTGGAGTGTGATTTGTATGCAGACATTAACGCAAACCTCTGGCCACATATGCCACACAAATGTGGTCTTTCCTCTGAATACTTTCCACTGAAGTTTGGTTTCTTGTGAGCATTCTCGTGATTATTGGCCAGTAATTTAGTTTTAGTCTTAAAATAACAGTCAGAATGCGAGCATTGAATCCATGGTATGTCTGGTAAGGCCTCGGGATGTACTCCCAACTCATGAGCCTTTAATTGGGGTTTAGTTTTGAACCGTTTATTGCATTCATTGAGTGAACATTTGAATAGTCGTTGCGTTGAATGAGATAATTGGTGTTGAGTTAGCAAACTCTTCACACCCGTCCCATAAGTACACCCCTTCCGATCGCACCTATACTTCGACAGATGATTGGGCTGTTTGTGTACAGTCGTGTGATTATTGGCCGCAGACTTGGATTTGGTCTTAAACTGACAGCCAGGATATGGACACGTAATCCACTGGACGTACGGGAAAGCCGTGGGATGTACTGCCAACTGATGGGCTTTCACATGCTGTCTAGTCTTAAAACTTTTATTGCATTTATTTAGTAAACATTTGACTGATCTGTGGACTGAATGAGTCAATCGGTGTTGAGTTAGTGATGCCTTCAAACTAGTCATATAAGTACAGCCCTCCCAATCGCACCGATACTCCGTCTGATGGTTGTGTTGATCCAGGCTTTCCACACGTATGACAGTCTTGTCATCACTCGAGTGGACGGACTGTTTGTGAAGATTAAGGTTATGCCGAGTGGTGTAGGTTTCACTGCAGTCATTGTAATCGCAAATATATTTCTCAATACTTTCGTTGTCTGAATCCATGTCTGAATTATCTCTTGTTTTGTCATCACTTGAATATTCATCTGATTCTTGACTTTTGGGTTCACTTTTAATTGGTTTAAACTTTGTGTCAGTAATGTCTGCGAAATCATAGCAATGATTGTCTGATAAACCACTTCCTCTGTAGCTATTATTTGATTCACTTTTCACTTCATTTGTTTCATTCAAACTAATGAAACAATTTTTAACGCCTTTTAAAACAATGATTTGTTTGGTTAACATGTATTGTAAATCAATTGAATCTTGTCGAGTTTGCGACATTTGTAAATATTTTTCATATGTCTTAGACAGCAATTCATTTCTTAATAAATCACTTTTCAATCGACAATTTTCTTGTCTCAATAGCCATACCATTTGACACAAGTCTTCGCGACTTAAATGTCGTAAATCATCAAAAATTGAGTCCATTTTAGTACAGTACTGTACAAACTATAAAACTATATTAACTTGTGATAACACTATTTAATAAAATAAATTCAATCAGTATTGGCAATCAGTTTTCCTTATGTTAAACTCATACCTAAAACATGTGTTTTTCATTTGAACCTAGTGGCTATTAATAATACAGTAGTCTAATAACTTAAAAACTTATTATTAATAAGGTATAGAAATAAAATACGCAAATTGTTATTAGGTTGGAAAAGTTTTAAAAAAGTTTTTTAATTAACTTTTGACACACAAATAAACTTCTAAATGAATTTAATCATAAAATATTTTAAAGTAATAGAAATTTAATATCTGAAATATCAAAACAATTAATACCATTTCACTTATTATTTTACAATGTTTTATTTATTCAGTACACATAATTCAGTATGGTAAATATAATATTTATTACGAATATATATATAATATTAATATTTACTAAATATTGATAAAATACAAATATTAGACTTATGCATTAGAAGTTTATCGAATTAAATTTATATCAAATCAATTTATATACAAGTACAATTAACTAAATAATTGAATAAGACAATTTTCAGCAAAATAAAGTATTAATCCAAACCTTAATTAACAAATTCAATACAAACCATAACCTTATTCACAACAATACTCGACATTTCATATGATTTATTATGTGAGTATCGATACATACTTCAACTATCATTACCACTGATTGTCTAATCAATAATAATAACATCATTCTTAGGATTATCTGATTCAAGCACTTCCTGGTCATCACAATTATCTGTGGGCCGGGTGTTGAGCGCCGTATAACTTGACGCCATATGACATGAGTGTGTCTTTGAATGTGATTTATATGCAGACATTAACGCAAACCTTTCGCCGCATATACCACACCAATAAGGCTTTTCTTCGGAAGGCTTTCCCCTGAAGTATGGACTCTCGTGGGAATTGCTGTGCATATTGTCAACAGCTTTAGATTTGGTCTTAAAATGACAGCCCGGGTATTGACACTCAATCCACGGCATGTAAGGTATGGCGTCGGGATGTACTCCCAACTCATGATATTTTAATAGGTATTTATTTTTGAACCGTTTGCCGCATTCATTTACAGTGCATTTGTATGGGCGCAGTATTAACTGATCCAGATGGTGTCCACATAGTGATGTCCCCAAACCAGTCCCATAAGTACATCCCGTTTGATCGCACCTATACTTCGTGGTAATATTGGGATTGTTGTGTACAGTCGTGTGATTATTGGCCGCAGACTTGGATTTGGTTTTAAACTGACAGCCAGGATATGGACACGTAATCCACTGGACGTATGGGAAAGCCGTGGGATGTACTGCCAATTGATGGGCTTTTAATTGAAGTTTAGTTTTAAAGCTTTTGTGGCATTCATTTAGTGAGCATTTGAATGCTTTATCCCAAGAGTGAGTCCTTTGGCGTTCAATTAGAAATGCTTTATAACTATTCAGATAAGGGTTGCCTTTAGGATCGCACCTATACTCCGGCTGATTGGTGTGTGATTTGTGGGGATCACGAACGACAGTCTGGTCATCATCGCACCGGTATGTGCCACTCAAGTGGACAGACTGTATGTGTAGATCAATGTCTTGCTTATTAGTGTAGGTCTCATAGCAGTCATCGTAACCGCAAATATATCGTTCAATATTATTATTACTATCATTGAGTAGATCCAAGGGTAAAGTATCACTCTTTTTGTCATCACTTTGACCACAACTATGTTCATCCGATTCTTGGCTTTTGGGTTCACTTATAATTGGTTTGAACTTACTTTCAGTAATATCTGCGAAATCATTGCAGTAATTGTCTGATAAACCACTTCCTCTGTAGCTATCATTGAGTGAATCCTTGGGTGAAGTATCACTAGTTTTGTCATTACTTTGACCACAATTACGAGTATATTGATCTGATTCTTGACCTTTTGGTTCACTTTTAATTGTTTTAAACTTTCTGTCAGCAATAGCCGGGAAATCATTGAAATGATTGTCTGATAAACCACTTCCTCTGTGGTTATCATTTGATTCACTTTTCACTTCATTTGTTTCATTCAAACTAATGAAACAATTTTTAACCCCTTTTAAAGTAATTATTTGTTGCGTTAACATGTATTGCAAATCAATAGATACTTGCTCAGTTTGTAACACTTGTAAATACTTCTCGTATGTCTTGGACAGCAATTCATGTCTTAATAAATCACTTTTCAAACGACAATTTTCTTGTCTCAATAGCCATACCATTTGACACAAGTCTTCGTGACTTAATTGCCGTAAATCATCAAAAATTGAGTCCATTTTTCATACAAACTTTTGAACCAATGTTCACTGTATAAACTTTTACTAGTTTATTTATTTAATACTTTTTGTCACACAGTTTATGTTAACCTCACGCTTAAAAGTTTTAAGTTAAAACCAATTTTTACTTACTGTATAAATACTATTAATACAGTTTATTAATATATTTAATACTTTTTACTTTTTAACACACGTACGTTAAAAACACATGCTTAACACGTGCTACAGTTTGTTATTGTTTTTGTTTAATTGTATTATAGCGCTAAAAGTAGTGTTACAGTTGATTACACTTACACTATACATAACAAAGATTAATATAAATAATGTCTCATTGTTTATATTGTTTCATTAGCCCTACAAATCTGATACAAATTCGACTTATTTAAATATTATAAAATTAAATATCCCAAATTAAAATTTATTTGCCTCTACCAGTTTTATTGTAAAGTGTAACTATATTTTGCTGTAAAACTTACTCAAATTGGGTATAGAAATAAAATACGCAAATATAAATGGATTGAAAAAGTTTACAAAACTTTTGAATAGATTTCAAACTAATCAATAAAGTTTTAAATGATTTATAAACATTTAAATGAATGATTTTTCATAAGAATTTAATATTTTAAAATTTAAATATAAATTTCTATACGA